CCGAGTCCATGGTTGTATTTGTCTGTGTAGACTCTGTTTCCACAGCTGTCAGCTGAGATGGCTGCTCCCTGTACAAAATGGTTCTACAGTTATGCACGTGCGTGGGGTTTTCATTTTAACAGATTTTTTAGCACTTCCTACTTTGAGTTTCAAAGTGCAGCGAAAATAACGTGTGCCATTCCAAAGGGTGATATTTCGGCTTTTTTTTTTTTTATCTTTTACGATAGATGGCATGTGAATGACATGGTGTTTTCACTGGAGCTCCAGGGGAATTGTTTGCCTACAATCATTCTGACATCCCATGCCCTCTATTGTAATAAGAAAGCAGCATAAACAAACTCAACTAGCTGGTCAGGAACCTGTTCGGGTGAAAGCAATTATAATTTATTTTATAATGACGAAAAGCAAACAAAACCCTGCACAAATAGTTTTAATCAATGTTTAACGACTAGTTTCCCAGGCTGCTGCTTGTTTGCCAGACAGCATTGGGTGGGGGTAGAAATGGAGTAGGAAAACAAATAATTACTGTAGAGATAACAGAAATCACTGGGTAAGTGGAAAAAAAATAGTTCCAAACACTTATCAGGCCAAGTTACCTGACATTTTTTCACAGACTAGATTACTTTAGACTCATAAAGGGCAGACATTATTAGGTACATGAAGGACAATGCTGGCACAGTGGTTCTCAACCTGTGGGTCGCGACCCCTTCGGTGGTCGAACGACCCTTTCACAGGGGTCGCCTAAGACCATCCTGCATATCAGATATTTACATTATGATTCATAACAGTAGCAACATTACAGTTATGAAGTAGCAACGGAAATACTTTTATGGTTGGGTCACAACATGAGGAACTGTATTTAAAGGGCCAGAAGGTTGAGAACCACTGGGTTAGCAGGTTTGTTTAAGATTACTGAATAGAATTTCATTGTGTCAAGCTCAATCAAATGCAAGAGAAGACATCTGATCCAGTGATCCCTAATACATGGCATGTGTGCTGCCATTTGTATTCTCCCTGGCCCCCTCTGCCTGTGACCAGCATAATTAATTGATCATCGTTCTCTGAGTGTAGGTTTAGCATCAGAATATTTCTCAAATCAGAGGACTAGTCTCTTCAAATTGATGATTTAGAATTTTTTTGAAACCTGTTTGCTACCCCTGATAGATTCTGATTTTCATGATGAAAGAAGATAAGATGGTTGACTTTGACTTGCCCACATCATCTACCTATTTAGTGACTGAGGAAGAAGTAAAACAGAGATTACCTGACTCTTTGTTCAGTACCTTTTTCATTACCCTATACAGACTAAAAAGGGCTCTGAGATCATAGGAGGAAAAGAGCTGTCATTGTTGTGTGATAAATTATAGCTTTGTCTTGCTTTTCTCATAATGTTATGTCATATATTCCATCTAGGAACTTCCGGGAATAGATTACTTATAGTATAGTAATTTTATTTTTCATGATTTGATCCACAATTTTATTATAATTATATCCTTAAAAAGATGCATTCACCACAGAGAGGGTCATTTAAGAGATTTTGTTTTAGGAAGAGGGTAATCTAATAGTCTATTTGTACTTTGAGACCAACATAAAATAATGACACTATTGGCAACACCAAGATCACTTTTTATTTAGGCTAATAATTCCAAGAACAGGATTTCTACATTGCATTTATTTTTTTTTTGATAATTTTAAAATGAATATTAACACTTATGGAAATTTGACAATTTTAATTAAAAATTTCAAAACAATTCATATGGAAAAAACAATTTCTTATAAACTTTAAAAATTAACCTCTTGCTTAGGGTATTGTAAATAAATTCTCTACACTTACCATTTTTAAATCAGATTTAGGTAACCTTTTCTCCCATTTTATGTTCAGTTTTGTCCTTGTTTTATAGACAGTGAAACTGTTTATCTCATTTGAATTGTTATTTGGGAGGAGGAAAAAGTGTGATACACAGAGTCACTAACTTGTAAAGGCTCATTTAATTCCTCATCGAGTCAGTCTTTGAGACAAGCAATGTAGCGTGATTTTTTCCTCCACTTACTCTAGTAATGGAAGGGGCATTTTATTTAGGAAAATATGAATGCAGGTAGTGTTATTAGTAAACATGCAAAAAGAAGATCATTTGGAATCTTATTTCAGAAGCAGTGGCATCATGCTCATAAACTTCAAGTTTTCTTTGTTCCTTTTTCCTTTTCCTTTTCTGTGAAACTCTAGGGATAACTTGAGGCATATCCAAAATTTTCTCTAGCAAGGGACTTAGAGATATAAGTATATTTCATACTTTCTTAATCAAATAAACTTTGAGTTTCTTTAATAGCCTTTAATTTTATGGGAAGAAAAAGGGCCACAGTTAGCTCTTTTTATACATTTTAGTAAATAAGTACCGCTTATATGTCAATAAAGAAATTGAACTCAACCTATGAATTATCTCATTATTAGAGAATATGTATTGAGAGTTCGATAGATGCAGGCCAGCTTAGTTTTAGGGCTTCCTATCTAATTGGAATATACCACAATTTATTGGAGATAACTAAGTAGAAATTAAATGACTATTAATTTTAGACACACAGTCATTTTAACTTTTGTAAAAAGAAGAAATAATTAATTCACCAGGCCAATAAGTGTTTAGGTCAGTTATGTTATGTATAGCATGCTTTGTGAAGGTTAAGTAATTTCAGAAATCTTCATAAAGGTTCACTTTTTTATTTGCCTACTTTTATGTCACTTTTATTGAAGACAATTACCTTGATGTTTTTGCTAATAAAGTACACATTAAATATTTTTTTAGAGAACAGAAATTGATAAAATAGACTTAAACTTGATGGATTCTTCAGAAAAATTATTATCCTGATTTCAGTTATTAGAATTGCTTTAAATCTTAACCATCTTAGGTTAAGATTCTATTACATGAATGATAATGTACTTGAAATTAAGTAGAATGCCACACTTTTATAAAATATTTCTGTGTTGATGTTAAAATGTGACCAGATAGGCTCATCTAAACATGAGCACACATCTGACACAAATTAACTTGATGGTTGTCCAGGCTGAGATTTTAGTTCCTACACCTACACCCACTCATCCACCCACATCTATTGGACAAGTGCCTGAGTAAACAAATGGGCCTTCCGCTATGCTCTCAAAACAGGCAGCCTCCACCTTTATTGAGCAAAACATTGGGTGCAAGTAAGCTATATTGTGTTATTGTGCTTCTGGGCATGATCATTTGAGTGAAAAGCTACTATTCATTACTGTTATAGTTTGCTGTTGGAAATACCTTTTTTCTTTATGAATGAAAACGTGAAACTTGGAGGATGACAGATGGAGTTTCAGGGATCTGGAAAACCTATAGATAGGGAAGCAGTTCTCAGTCAAATAGGAAAAGAAAAAAATGAGCAGGAGTGTGAAATGCCATGCAGATTTATAAAAGCCTGTAGCTAAAATTTTAGAAAATGTTTGAATTAGCCAAGAGACATAGGTTGATCATGAAATTTCCCCATGTATTCAGGGCTATGGGACCAAAATAGAATTCACATCTTTCCTAGTGTCCCTTCAACAAGTTACTAGCTTAACAGTTACAAAGTTTAATTTGGGGTTGGACATTAAGTGCTGGCTGCCATCTCTATAAATACTACTCGCTTTCTCACTGTGTGTGCAGAGGTTTGGAGACCCGAGGTGATAGGGTGGCAGAAGAATTTATGACATCAGAAGTGAGTTTTCTTTATGCTAATAATGGTACTGCTAGTCCGTGTTTGTGACAAAAGCACTGAGAGTAAGGCAAGAGCAACAATTAGATGACCCTGTATTTGATTTGATGTGCTCGTACTGAGTATTGAGAAAATCTTCAAAGGCATTTTCTCATGATATTCTCTTTAGTGCTGCAATAGTTAACAAGCCATCGCATATTTAACCTCATGGAAATAAGTATATGTGCATTTGCTCTTAAAAGGATCCATTTTTTTTTTATTTCTGGAATCATTAATACTCTGCTATTTGCTTCTCTTAATTGTGGCAATACATGGTCCTAAGGACAACACACTAAATTCAAGTTGAAGACCCCCTACACCTCTTTCTAGATGCTTTCTTTAATCTTTTGGTAGCTCAGAATTCTCCACAAAGACAGGGAGCCTGGTTGCCATATGCTTTCTTTATATAGCTATGGGATTTCTTTTCTTTCTTACTTTCTTTTTTAATGGCATGAGATAATGCCTATGATACATAAAACTTTATGGGATAAAGGTCAGTGCAATGTATAACTTCTGTTTTCTGGCTATTATAATGACTAGATAAACATAGGCATAAGGTTGCTTAATACTTCAACAGAAACCTGCCATGGAACTTCCTGAAAATTTGACCGCTTGAAAGAATTCTAAATGGAATTGTCTTATATTTTGCTTATTATTTTGCTTCTCTAAATATGTTTGCTAGAATAATGGATAACTGGGTAAGATATGTCACAGCATTGCTTTACAAAAATGCTTAAAATTTATTTCTTCCCTTCTAATAAAAAGTTAATGATAAAAGTAACAAATCTATTATTATTTAAGAGTTTTACTGAGAAGTGTCTTGAGATAGTTTTATTTGATTGTGTTTAATTTAATTAAAATTATTATTCTTTCTTGTTACATTGTTCTTTGAAATCATTGAAATTGTCTAAGTAACATTGTTCTTTCTCTACTTGATAAAATAGAGAACCCAGAAGATTAATTTAGATAAAGAATGAAAAATAAAAGGATCACATTATGTGCTTCATTTTATTAGAAGGAACTACATTATAAAAATAGTTATTTGAAGAGAAAAAAGAGATAAAAATAGCAAAGCATTTCAATTTTCATACCATTATGAAGCAGTAATAAAGGCAGTCTTTATACAAAAGTATGTGTATTTATAAGAGATATGATCATTATTAACTTTTTATTAAACCATCTGGCCTATTATATTTTTATATATTATTTAATGTCTTTCTTCTGTTTTGTTTTCTTTTAAACAGCAAATGCCAGTCTCCTTGGAGGAGGAGGTGGTAAGTCCTGAACATCACTTAAAATATACTTTTATTTCTATACCAACCACAAATGTTAAATAAGTTCTGTGATACTTTAAAGAAAATTAATTTAGCTATAATCATCAATCTCAAAAATGATAATTTTCTAGAAAATAATTTATAATGGAAATATCTGACTTCAAAATATGTGGAATAGTGTTTTTCTTCTTGTCAAACTTTGTATTTACACCTTTGGCATAAGCTGTAACAGCTATAAGCTATTGGGATGAAGACATAGCAGAGGACAGAGTCACATTGAATACATTTGGGGAGCTGTGGCTTTGGGGATTTTTTCATCATAATGACTATAAAAATTATGACTCTGTAGCCTGAGAGCTTAATATATAAGCCAGTTATTGATGTGAATACTAAAAAAGAAATTAGTATTGACACTTTGCTTTTTCTTTTAGCCTATTTAAAGGAGAAAGCGATCAATAGGAGATTAGGAAGAGAGAGATTTCTATACTGAAAATTTATCTTTGATACTACGATCTTATGCCTATTTATTATTTTTATTTCTAGAAAATAAAAATATTTCTAGATTTATTTATTTCTTGAAAGATGAAAGCTTTCCTGGCCCAGCCTATATAATATAGTAGGAGAGGGAAAAGTACACAATAGAATAGGGCCCTTTTTTAAAAAATAGATTTTTATTGATTTCAGAAAAGAAGGGAGAGGGAGAGAGAGATAGAAACATCAATGATGAGAAAGAATCATTGATAGGCTGCCTCCTGCACGCCCCCAACTGGGAATCGAGCCCACAACCCAGGTATGTGTCCTTGACTGGAATCGAACCCGGGTCAGTCCTTCAGTCCACCGGCTGATGCTCTATCCACTGAGCCAAAATTAGGGTCCTTTTTATTTAAGACCCAGATGGGCATAGATAGGTTTGTTTTCTCCCTCATTCTTTCTCCCTTTCCCTCTTGCTCTCTCTTTTCATGTATATGGTAGAAGTAAATAATTGTACAGAGCATTAGGCTTCTAAAAAATTGCCTGGCTTTTATGAGGAGGTTTCAGTGCAATTCTATTTAGCAATTACATTTTTAAGTATCATTTCTATATGAGAATTAATAGATTTTCAAAAACAGAATCTTGGAAATAGAAACAACAGAAAACAGTTTAAACTAAAAAATGTTCTTCATATTATCAGGTCAGTGAATATTCTATAGCAGAATATTTCTTTTCCTCCTCCATAAATTATTTTAGAAAATAGAAATCTACAGAATTTCTAATTTTAATTTATTTTGTATGCTTGGGAATTAGAGGGTAATCTTTTCTTATTAGTTGGATTCCCCATAAATTTTTATCTCTGGGTCTCTTATAATATGTTAGGTAAACATTATTAAAATAAATATACATTAGTACTGATTTTCTTGCAATATATATTATTATTTCAACAATTTGACTAAATAGAATAAAGTAAAGTTAAAATTGAGTCTCTATAAACAAATTCATCAAGTTAAACAACAGACATATTAGCTAGACAATTAACCCTTTGTACGTCATAAGCATCTATTGAAACAAGGATGGTTTCCATTTTGGGCACGTGACAGTTAACTGGTTAATTTATTGTTCTTGGCTATTTTTATAACCTGGCTTGACTGTTTGATTATATTAGTTAATATCACTTTATTTACACACTAGAGGCCTGGTGCACAAAAATTTGTGCACTTGGGAGTGGGGGATCCCTCAGCCCGGCCTGTGCCCTCTCACAGTCTGGGACCCCTTGGGGGATGACCACCTGCTAGCTTAGGCCTGCTCCCTGGGGGATTGGGCCTAAGATAGCAATCAGACATCCCTCTGGCAGCTGAGCAGCCCTCCAGGGATGTCCACTTGCCAGCGGGGAATAGTCCTAAGCTGCAGTCGGATATCCTTAGCGCTGCTGAGGAGGCAGGAGAGGCTCCCACCACCACTGCTGTACTGGCAGCCATCAGCCTGGCTTGTGGCTTAGCAGAGGTTCCCCATGTGGGAGTGCACTGACCACCAGAGGGCAGCTCCTGCATTGAGTGTCTGCCCCCTGGTGGTCAGTGTGTGCCATAGTGATCAGTTATTCCCAGTCTTTCTGGTGTTAGGGTCCGTTTGCATATTACCCTTTTACTATATAGGATAGAGTCCTGGTGCATGGGTGGGGGCAGCTGGTTTGCCCTGAAGGGTGATCTGGATCAGGGTGGGGGTCCTGCTGGGGTGCCTGGCCAGCCTGGGTTAGGGGCTGAGGGCTGTTTTCAGGCTGACCAGCGACTGAAGCTCCCAGCCTCTCCTTTTTTTCTTTTTTTTTTTATTCTGAGATTTATTTACCTTCTATAATTGAAACATTATTGCTGTCACTGGCGCCCCCAGCTCTGAGGCCGTGGCTGGCTGAAAGCAGGTATCTGGGGTTTGTTTAGCTTCTATAATTGAAACATTGTTGCTTCCGGAGCTCAGAGATGGGCCGTGGCAGGCGGTGAACCTTGGCTTCCTCCATCACTGCAGCAAGCAAGCCTCCTGCTCGCTTCAGCTGCATGGCTGCCGGCCGCCATCTTTGTTGGCAGTTAATTTGCATATTGCCCTGATTAGCCAATGGGAAGCGTGGCGGAGGTATGGTTAATTACCCTTTTTGTCTTTTATTAGATAGGATAGTAGGAAAATACAAAATAATAGTTACTTATAGGAAATAGAAGTATATTTCTATCTCATGTGAAGGTAGCATAGATGTAAACTAGAAAGGTTGTGGTAATCCCATAATATAACCACGTTATTACTTTTCTGTTCCTCCTTCTTAGTGCAGTGAAGTCAGGGTCCCTGATGACCAGTGGAGCTCCAGCTATCATGCATTTGGGGGTTAGGAGGAGTAAGAAGGCCAAAAAATAAAAAAGGTGGCCCCCAAAAGATGAGTCAGGTTTTCAAAGCAGGTTTCCCTAAAGTCTCACATTGTCCTTGAACTTGATTAAACGTTTATTAATGGATACATGCAGTTTTGTTCCAAAAAGCAATGTGTTTGTTAGAGAGAGAAAGAGAGAGAGGGAGAGAGAGAATTCTGTTTTCTAAGGAGGTAGGGCAGAGTGGAGGTTTTGGTAGGTAACTAGTAATCCATGCTATAGTGGGAAGGTAGGCAGTTGTTTAGGAAGTCTTGTCAACCTGCTTTGTTTTAATATATGTGTACATAGTTGGTGTTTATAGAATTAATTCTAGTGACTGGGCCTGTATTTTCTTATAGTTCCTCTAACCTGTATGAAAAAAATATAATATGAATTTTTAGCAGTGGCAAGACATTCAGGAATAGGCAAAGTCAGTTTTCTGTTTACTGTTCTATGGGGCATAAATGTATGATTGATTTTGCTAAATGTAATTATTGCCATACTTTCTAATTTCTGAAGTCTAAAATTAGCAAGTTAGCATGATTATAAAGGTAAATTACAAATATTTAAGGTGGCTGTAATTACTTCCATTAAAGTAGGTCATGACAGGTTTAAATTCATTTATGCACTTCCAGAGATGTTAAGATTGCTGTAAAGTATGTCTGATTTTTGGAAGGCTGTATTTAAAAATTAAATTTAAGTATATTTTTAGTCTTCTTATACTGATTTTTTGGCCTTCTGATTCTATGACAAATATTTTTAATCCTGTCAGTGATATTTGTAAAGTAAAACCTAATAATCAACCAATAAGGAGCAATTAAATTGATGTACTACTGTTAGATTTAATCAAGGATTCTTTTTATTGACTTGAATTAATATCCCTTGAAAAGTCTCTGAAAGGACTACTTTTTTGATTGACTAAACAATTTGATACCACATAAAAATAATAATGGTACATTAAGTACTATTTTCTCAGGTCTTCAGGAGGGCTTTCTCTAAAACTGTATAAGTAGTGCTTGAAATTTAGACAAAATCAGTGCATACAAAAATGTATTTCCCATAAAATCTTAGCATTTTTTTTTTTAAATATGTTTAGTCTTCTTATACTATAACCAAGGGCTATAACTAAGAAGAGAGTTCTCCTAAAAGGAGATTTTTAAAAGTGGTCACAATTAGTCCTCTTAGCTCTGATTTTAAAGTGAGATAATCACTACAGTGGTATAAAATTTTCATCTGTAGGTCAAAGACCACTCTTTCCAGGAACTCAGTGTCTCTGACTATAGTCTTTGTAATGAACACCGGCGTGGCGGTCACAACCACCCAGTCATTTCAGATGAAACCCTTGGTGAAATGGATCATCTCTGTTTATATTTTCCAGATCTGTTAAAGGCAGATACATATGCTAATTTTTTAAATGTGTGACTGGTCTATAGTGACTGGATTCTACCCTTCAGGAAGCCTTTACATTACCTATGTAATGGTAGAATGTCAAAATCTTAGAATTTCTATTAATTTTTTTTTCTTGTGAAAAGCTTTATTGTTTCATTTGGTCTAATGCATGGGAGAGGGCTTCAGGGTGGTTAAAAGAATGACTAGTAGTTTCAGGGGAAGCTCAGGTAAAAGCCAGACACCAGGGGAATAAACAGGGGCCTTTCAAAGGCCTCTGGGCTCCAAAGGCTCCTAGTCGTGATACTCGCCCAGCCCAGCCTGGGGGCCGGCAGCCTGCAGAGGTGAGTCAGGTGTTGCCCATCTTCTTAATGTGTCAGGTGTCGCCCATCTTCTTGATGAGTTTCACCTCCTCACCCAGGAAGTGGTTCTTGGGAAGTCACAGAGCTGAGGGTCTGCACAGGTAGAACCCAGGGCCTGCAGCTCCAAAAGGGACTGCGTCAGGTTCCCCTCCATGGCCAGGGCGGCTTCCATGGTATCCTGAGTGTCACCCCACTCACCTTGGGGAGGCTTCAGCACGTCCTGGAAGAGAATGCGGCCACCGCGCTTGTTTTGCAACTTTAAGAGACGCTCAGCGCCCTCGTGCTTCTCTGCCAACTCGCAGAACAAGTGGCCCTTGCCTTCCAGAATCACATCATCGCAGTGGAAATAGAAGCCCAGAGAGAGGTAGGTGTAGGGGGCCCGCAGATGCAGTTGGCC